ACTTGTTCGTTTGTTTTGCGATCCATCCATGATATTTTCAAAATACGTCGGTAACACCACATTTCGAATGCTTCTAGGTTTTTAATGTTTGATTTTTCAAGTGTCCTAGCTTCAACCCCATACAAAAGGGTAGAGAAAAATATAACATCGAAGCATTCTTATCCGGAACCACCAAGGTATTTGTACGAAGATATTTGTTCAATTTCTGTATTATCTAGTACTAGCTAAACTTTGATATCTTGTGCTTTAGTAAATACCATGAACTTGATTTTCTTCAAATTTATTTTTAGTCCATAATCGTTGCAATATATATTTAGTTATTCAGCAAGGTGTTGCAGTTCTTCTAGTGTTCCTGCCAGAAGGACGGTGTCGTCAGCATATCATATGTTATTAAGTGGCTCACCATTTATTATAAGACCCTCACTGATCTCGGCAAGCGCTAATTCTGAGATGGCTTTACTGTATAAATCTGGATCTAATTCGCCCACGGCGAATCTGGATATCCTTGGTCTGTTCATTTTCAACTTTCACTTTTGCTGTTTGGTTCCAATAGAGGTTACAAATGATTCTACTGTCTCTACTGTCTATGTTTTTATTTAATAAAATTTCTTTAAGCCGATTATGCTACACTGTGTCAAATGTCTTCTAAAAATCAATGAAACAGGTATATACTTCCTGATTAATATCTAAGCATCTCTGCGAAAGAACACTTACTGCAAACAGTGCATCTCGTGTTCCCAGTCCTTTCCTAAATCTCATTTGTGTATTACTTATGCCTTCATCTAATTTCTTCTATTCTATTCTAATGTATTCTATTGTGAATTACTTTTAAAAACAATTTCAAGACATGACTCATTAAGGCTATGTTGCGATGTTCATTGCACTCCTTTGCATTGGCCTTTTTTGGGAAGCAGTATGAATGTTCATTGAAGCCATTCTTTATGTATTATACCTGTTCTATATGTGATATTGTAGATCTAAAAGTAGATCAACAGATTCAGTATTCACAATTTTGAGTAATTCGATAGGAACTTCATCAAGCCCGGGAGATTTACCACCTTTAGCTTGTTTCATTGCATATTCAATTTCTTCTCGTATAATGTCAGGCCCAGTATCATCCTTAAATTCTTTTGGTGTTTCTGTTCTCTCTTTGTCTTCAAAAAGTTGTGCTATATATTGTGTCCATCTCTGAATTTTTGGTTTATATCTGTTATAAGTGCACCACTTTCATCTCTTAGTTGCCTAGTTTGAAGTGTTTTTCTCATTCCTATTAATTCTCTAATTCTTTTATGCAGGTTGAAAAAATCATATTTTTTCTCAATTTCTTCCAGTTCTGAGCACTGATCATATAACATTCTCTCCTTAGCTTCTTTTATTCTCTTTTTAATTAATCGATCAGTTTCATTATATTTAACTCGATTTTTAGCTTTCAATGATTTTCTTTCATTCATTATTAGTAGCATTTTTTCAGTCATACAGTCTTTATGTTTTCTATTCTTTGGTTTTAAGTTTTCATTTGCTGTTTTAATTATTGCTACTTTTATATTTTCCCATTTCTGATCAATGTTATATGTAGCTACTTTAATTTAGTTCTTGGGCATTACGTAGATTTTCAGTAAGAGTTTTTAAAGTTTTTTTCCTTTGTTTGTGGTTCCCTTAATCTCTTAATATCAATTTTACTTTGTGTGGGTTTTTAAAGCAGTTTCAGTTTTGTTCGTAATGTGACTTTTATGGGGTTATGGTCTGAACCAATGTCTGCTCCAGGGTAAGTTTTGGCAGACAGTATAGAATTACGAATCTCTTTGTCAGAAGAGTTCCTACACATCAAAAGAGTTACTCGATCTTTGCTTTTTCTGTATCCAGGCGCATTTTTTCACTTTGGGCTGTCAGGGTTTTTGGTTAGAAGTATTCTGAAATTGAGACTCGTTTCGTCACAATTGAAGATTTGGTCTGACATGGTGAGGCCATGTTTTAAAATGAGATCTCACAACTTTAAATTAAACGGCTCAATTTCAGATGAATCGGCCAAAAAGTTTTTCACCCGAAATGTTCAGTTGTCGGATGCCATACCCCTTCTTTCATCTGTCGAGCAAACCATCACTTACAGTAAAATTTTCCTTGTCATCCTTAAACCGTGAAACTCCAGAAGTCTGTTCGTATTCTCATCATCATCATATAACGGGGGTCCTACGGCGATTGCCGCTTCCCGCATTTCAGCCTCCATCTTTTTCTATCTCTCCAATCTCCCTCTTTTAAGCCTCTGTTCGTATTCTCGTTTCTTCATAGTTTTTCGAAGCAAATCACTTCAACTACGCACTCTTTTATTAACCCATTGTTCAATATCTTTTCGTTTACGTCTCCATTCTCCGAAAGTCACTTTTCCAACCCCTAGGTCACCACCAACTTTCTTTACTGACTCACCCTTATCCAAACGTTTTATAGCACTTGTTTCAAACAATATTGTTTCCAAAGAAACCACAACTCGTTTACGTTTTAAACTCATATTGCACTTCAAGTTATGTAGAAATTACACAAAAAGAAGACATGAATTAACTTCTAAGAGCTTACAGTGGGACGAACCGAACAGCTAGCTGTGATGACTCAAACTTACGGGTTGGGGAGTGGATGGGGAGGCGTCCAGTAGAAGCATAGGGGCTAGAACAATAACACTCGCTAGTGACTCATCTCTTCGGCGTACACGCTTCCACTTGATCTCGCTCTCCATCATCATTATCATCATTTGGCTCTACAACTCTATGTGAGTCTTGGTCGCGTTTACTATTTGCCTCCATTGTTGTCGGTCCTAAGTAGCTATTTCCTATTGCTCTATTCCCATTTTGCATAGATCACTGGCTACTGCGTCCTTCCATCTCTTTCTTGGGCGACCAATTGCCCTTCTGCCATCGGGCCTTTTCAGAATGTGGCGTTCAGGAGTCTTTCTTTTAGTATGTAGCCCACCCATCTTATTCTGTTTGCTTTAATATAGCGTACTAGGTTTTCATCTCCATATACTGTCTGGTGTTCATCATTGTGTCTTCTTCTCCATTCTCCTGTTGTCTTTTCTCTGCAAGGCCCATACATAGTCCGCAGTATCTTTCTTTCCAGTAACAGTAATTTTGTCGTTTCCCGCTGGTTCAGAGTACATGTCTCGCTTCCATACGTTATTGTCGGACGAATTATTGTCTTATACACTCTTATTTTTGCTGGTATTGAGAGTATTTTTAATTTAAGTACGGTCATTAATGAGTAATACACCCTGTTTCCTGCAATGATCCTGCCTGCCACGTCTGTTTAATATTTATTTTTAGATATTATGATCGCTCCTAGGTACTTGCGTTCTTTGACGACTTCAAAGTTGTATCCATTGACTGTTACGTTTTGTCTAACCCTTGACCTTGGGTTCTTCGTAACCACCATGTTCTTGATCTTGTCCTCGTTGACCTTCAGACCAACTTCCTTGGCTCCGTTTTCAAATAGGGTGAAAACTTCTTTTACATCTCTGGTGGATTGGGTCATTGTGTCCACGTCATCCGCAAACGCCAATAGTATTTTCGATCCTTGGGCGGCAAATCCGTTTGTCAGTTGTGGTTGAGCTTTCCTTACCGCATGTTTCATTGCAAAATTAAAAAGCAGGGGGCGAGAGGATCTCCTTGTCTAAGCCCGGTGTCAATGAGGAATTCCTCCGATGTGCTGCTGCCAATATTGATCCGTGCGGAAGCGTTCTCTATGCTCACCTGTGTTAATCGTACCAGCTTTCCAGGTACTCCTATTTCTACCATGGTCTCCCACAAGGCTTCTCTGCTAACAGAATTGTAATCTTGTTTAAAGTCCACGAAAATTTGGTGTACATCGCGGTTGTATTCCGATCTCTCTCCAAGCTAATTTATTACATAATTTGTTCTTTTCAATTACTACCTCGAACCCCCTCTGTGGCTCAGTGGTAAGAGCGCCTATCTTTAAACCTAAAGGTCGTGAGTTCGAATCTCACCTGGGTGGAGAAATTTTCGTTTATTAAAAATTAATGAATGAAAATAATTTCTATCCTTGTGCGATCGAGACTCACCGGAGGGACCGCAGACGTTCGGATACAATTAGCGTCTCTTAGCAAAGACAATGACGTCGACTTTGCTAAGTATCAAGACAATTACTCTACACATACACTACACTAGGTACCTGACTGTACCATGCCAATGACCATTAGTTGTCGATGCATTAACTCAACAAAAAAAAATTACTACCTCGGTTAATCCAGAGCCTTGGTTAGTCGGGACTTGGATTCGGATAATCGCGAGTCTACTGTACTTACCATAGGTTTTTGACACACGCTCTGTATTAAGCATACCACTGCAGCTATGTCTTTCTGAGAGATATCTTGCTCCAAAAAACCAATAATCTTTCCCCTTTGCATATCCACCCTACATAAGGCATATTTTTGTTTTTTGAATGTCAAAGTTAGTTTATTTATTTTCGTTAAATTTACAACTAAAGCAAATAACATATAATAACACACCGAGCTGTGTTATCTGATTATTTTATCGGTTTGTTTATTTTCAATAAAAACCTTTAATCTTTGCAACAATAACAATTTTTTTCAAAAGAAACAAATATTGGTTAGAAATACATGGTGATTCCATATAAGTTTGATTATGTGTAGGTGAGAATACACATATTAACAACCTTTTTAATGGGTAAAAACACATACAAGTAACAACGTTGAAAAAAAAGTGGTATAGTTATATAAAATGATCACATGAAAATTCAATAACACTAAAATAGAAGGAATATATGGGAAATTCAGAGAATATTAAGTCAAAATTGAAATCAAACAGGTGATGAAGATTATATATTTGGATGAAGAATGATGATAGAGCATCATGTGTGCACAAAAGGAAGCAGTATAATGTACATCGTTAAATGCTGTAAACAAGCCGTCTAATAATAAATAGTGAAAATGAAAAATAGTAAATTAATAAGAACGTAAAATTGAAAGCCCCACTTACTGGTTGTTTGCCGTCATCTCGTAGAAGATAATACGTCGCAATTCCAGCTCCTATAGTTCCTGTTATGCCGCTTACTGCGATCTTTTTAAATCTTGAAGCCATTTGAAGTTCTGGTTTTTACCTTAAAAATAAAAATAAAAAAGCGTTATGACGAATAATCCTGTAATTACCTATATTGGAGATTTTGTAACGCAAATATTTTGTTTTGATAAGATTTAGTGACAATAGTTTCATGATGACATATACGTCTGTTTTAAATCTTCTTTTAAATTTTTTACTAGTTGCGATTGAAGCCAACCAATTTTATATAAAATCAGTGAGTAAATAGTGCCTTTATACTCTTATAAAACTTTAATAATATTCATGTGCTATAATTTTCATTCAATACTTTGATTTTATTAACAATTTAAATTTTAAATTAATTACGCAGTTTTTATATCTAAAACTTTAAGTAAGTCCAATTGGTAACGCGCAAATGTATGTGTTCTTCTTCTTTTTATGTAGACAATACTGTCTGTTTTTCAATTAACGGTTCCTATTGAGGAACCGTCTATTGCAGTCTTTACTGCTCTATTTGTTGTCATTCTGATGGTGTCTTACCATCAAGTTTTCTAAGCGTTTTCATCTCTGCTGTTTCTAACATCCTTTTTTTCCTTTCTGTGTCAACTCGTGACACTTTTAATAAAATCAGAGAAGAATATCTAATAGAAAATAAAGAGAAAAGGAAAAGTTGGATGAATGACAATATACTGCAACTCATGGAAGAAAAAAGAAAATCAAAGAATGTACAAAAATATTCAGAGACAAATAAGAACCGAAATACCAAAGGTCAAAGAAAATTGATTAAAAATACAGTGTCAAGAGATAGAGTTGTTGGAACAAAAACACGATACATTTAATATACATAAAAAGGTAAAACAAGCAGCTAGTCTTTAAAAATCCAACACAACAAGCAAACTGCAAGAACAACAGGGGAACATCATTACAGATAAAAATCAAGAAATATGCATATGGACCAAATACATACAAGAATTCTTTGATGATAACAGGTCCGAATAACTTCCTTCCTACATACATATATAATGTAATGACCACTTACCAATCACATCAGATAAAGTGGAAAAAGCAATATCTCATCTAAAAGATGGCAAAGCTCCTGGACCTGATAATGCATATGCTGAACTCATAAAGCTATATAACACCGACGGTACTCAATGACTAACAAAAATATTCAATGATATATATATTTAAACAGAGTAATACCAAGATCATGGCTAAAGTCAACGTTTATTGCTCTACCAAAGAAAACTAAATCTGTATCCTGCAATGATTTCCGGACCCTTAGCTTAATGAGCTACATTTTAAAGTTATTTCTAAAAATCATTTTCTTCTTCGTGTGCCATATCAAAATTATCCGACATTGGCGATCACCATTGTGAAACAATGAAATTCACGTGCCATATCAGATAAGGCTTCTCGATCTTCTGCAATATGGAATATTTGTTCCGCATTTGATATCTGAGTCCATTCACGAATGTTTCTCAATCAAGGCCCTCTATTTTGCATTTAAGGATCAGTTTGTAATATTTTATATCGACTTCAGCTTACTATATGTCCCAGATAAGACATTTTTCGATGTTTAACAGTTTCCTTACTGTCCAAGGTATCTTCAGCATTCGTCTATGAACCTACATGTCCAATGCTTCAATTTTGTTCATGATCGATACTTTTAGCGTCCACACTTCTGCACGATACAAACGTACGGACCAATGCCACTTAACCATTCTTTGTTTTAGTTTTAAATTGAGATGATTATTGTTAAGAAATGACTTTATTTTCGTAAAAGTAGTTTTAGTCATTGCTATTCTACGTTTTATTTCTATGTCTGGATCTAGCTGGTCCATTATCACAGTTTCCAAATATATCATTTTGGGAACTTTTTTAACTTGGACTCCGTTTAATTAAAGCTTTGCATCGGGATGTCGGTCACGACAAAACACTAAAAATTTGGTTTTTTTGAGTTTATTTTAATGCACATTTCCCTTCCTACCTCGTGAATACGATCAAGCAAAATTTGCAGACCTTCAATATTATCTGACCGAATTACTGTATCATTTGCATATCTAATCACATTAAGTAGTTCCCCGTTGATTTTTATTCCACATGGTTGTCTCTCAAGAGCCTTTTTTAGATAACTGGTCCGAGTAAACATCGAACAATGTTCGACGACAAAATGCAATCTTGTCTGACTCCTCGTTGTATAGAGATTTTTCCATACCTGCTCGTTTTAGTATTTGCATTAATTTTACTTACCGTACTTTATCGAATGCCTTTTCGAAGTCCACGAAACATGCAAATACATCTTTTCTTTGGTCACGGCATTTTTGTAATAGGATGTTAAGCGCAAAAAGTGCCTCCCTGGTTCCCATAGCATTTCTAAAACCAAATTGGGTATCTTCGAGATCTTCTTCGCATTTAGGTCTAACTCTGTTGTGAAGTATTCTTAGGAAAATTTTAAGAGTGTGGTTTATTAGGCTAATTAATCGATATTCTGAGCATTTTCTCGCATTGTGTTTTTAGGTATTGCGACAAAGATGGATTTGAGCCAATCTGTGGGAATCACTACGGTGTTAAATATATATTGTGGCTAAACACCCCGTACGGGGTTACGCCGCTTAAGCTCTCTAGATATATTTTACGAGGTAGATCAGTCCTCATTTTCTTTATTTAATTTTTCTTGTTATTTTTCTCCACTGTTTCCTATCTCTGGTTTTTTCTCTCCATTGTCGTACGCCCGCCCTGTTGAGATCGTTTGTTACTTCTTGTAGCCATGTAGATCTTGGTCTTCCACGTCTTCGTTTACCAGCTGGTGTCCATTCCAATATTGAGAATATTGTCGTAGATGGACCTGATCTCCATATATGTCCTAGCCATTTTGCCCTTTGCTGTTTTATTTTACAAACTATATCCTCTTTAATTTCGTTTAGTAGTTCATGATTCGTTCTTTGTCTATATTGGTTTTCATTAATTTTTATTGGTCCTAATATTGCTCTTAGTATTTTCCTTTCTAGTATTCTAAGGTCTTCCTCTTGTTTTTTTGTCATGCTAAGGGTTTCGGCAGCATACATCATAGTCGGTCGAATTATTGTTTTATATATTTTCATTTTCGATTTTTTGCTCAGTAATTTATTTTTTAGAAGCTTTTTATTTGCATAGTATGTCTTATTTGCTGTAATTATCCTTTCTTTAATTTCTGTTTCCCTGTCTCCATTGTTTGCTAATAATATTCCCAAATACTTAAACTTTTCTACTTCTTCAAATATATATTCTCCCAGTCTAACCTTTTTGTTTTCATATTTTTTGTCAAATCTCATTATTTTTGTTTTTTCTTGATTTATTACTAATCCCATTACTTTCCCTTCTGCTACCAATTCTTTTAACATATTTTCCATTTTTTTCTGTTCTTTGTTATTATCACAATATCGTCGGCATATGCTGTTATTTGTCCCTCTCTCGTTCTAAGTGTACCTTTGTTGATTTTTCTGACTATATATTCCAGGGCAAGATTAAACTGAGTTGCAGATAATGAATCTCCTTGACGTACGTTTATTTATAACAAATTCTTCTGTGTCTCCTTCTTGTGTTTACAGTTACTACAGTTTTGCTCATTGTCATTTTTATTAATCGTCTTAATTTGTTGTGTATTCTCATTTCTCTCATAGATGTAAGTAATTTCGCTCTGTTTATTGAATCAAATGCTTGTTGGAAGTCTATAAAAAGCAGTTCAATTTCTATTTTATATCCATAAGCTTTTTCCATAATTTGCTTTACCGTATGTATGGCATCTGTTGTTGACTTTCCCCTAATAAATCCGCATTGATACTGTCCCATGATATTTGTTGTCGCTTTGGCCAGTCTTCGTTGTATTAAGATTAACATGATTTTATACGCTGTGTTTAATAATGTCAGTCCTCTATAATTATTACACATTTGTTGGTCTCCTTTTTTATGGATTGTGATAATTTGTCCTTTGTGCCATTCTTCTGGCATCTTTTCTTCGTCCCATATGACTTTTATTAATTGGTATATTTTTTCTCTGAGTCCATCATATTTTATTAGTTCCATGTTTATACCGTCTATACCTGGTGCTTTACCGTTGCGACTACTGTTTATAATTTCCTCAACTTCATCTCTCGTTGGTTTTTCTAGCTCGGTTTCTATCATCGTGGTCTCTTCTTTCACATTTTCATTTAAGTCTTCGTCCTCTTGTACTGTTAATCATTCTTTAAAATAATCAGTCCAGATTTCTTTAAACTCTTTGTCATTTTCTGATACTTTTCCATTTCTATCCTTTATACTTTTTATCTTTCCTTTGAAGGTTTTGTTCTGCTCGCTAATTTTCTTATAAAATGCTTTTGTACCAGGTTCGTTTAATTTTTCTTATTTGTTTCTTACATTCTGTCCTTAATTTGTTGTATTCTTCTTTATATTCTTGTCTATTTGTTCTGATCCACCTTTGTCTTATTTCTATCTTCTTTTTTAACATGTTATGACCGTCTTGATTATGCCATTCTTCTTTTTTATTCTTTCTCTCTATCCCTACATGTTCAGAAGCTGTTTCATTTATACATTTTTTTATATTGCTCCATTCTGTTTCAACATCCTCTGTATGTTCACAGTATTCCTTCAGTTTTTTGCTTATATCTTCTGCATATTTAATTCTTCTATCTGTAGCATTTAATTTTTCTATGTACCATTTGTCCTTTGTTGTCTTGTTTTTTAGCGTTCTTTTGACTTTTTGTCTTAACGTTGCGGTAACCATGAAATGGTCTGTGTCTGCATGTGCACCTCTGTATGTTCTCACGTCTGTTATCGATGTTTGCTTTCTCTTTGTGATGAGTATATGGTCTATTTGGGACCATGTTTTTTGGTCTGGTGAGACCCATGTTACTTTGTGGTATACAGGGTGTGCAAATTTTGTACTACTGACAATCATATTGGTACTAGTTGCTAAGTTGCATAATCTTCGACCATTATCATTTGTTTTTTCATGTAATGTATATTTACCTGCAACTTGGTTAATGTAGTCTTCTTTGCCCATCTGAGCGTTAAAATCTCCCA